TAGTTAGGCCTCAGCTGGAGTACTGTGTCCAGTTCTGGGCGCCACATTTCAAGAAAGATGTGGAGAAATTGGAAAGGGTACAGAGAAGAGCGACAAGAATGATTAAAGGTCTAGAGAAGCCTATGAAGCCAGGCTTCATGAACTGGGCTTGTTTAGTTTGGAAAAACGAAGATTAAGGGGGGACATGATAGTGGTTTTCAAATATCTAAAAGGGTGTCACAAGGAGGAAGGAGAAAATTTGTTTCTCTTGGTTTCTGAGGACAGGACAAGGAGTAATGGGCTTAAAGTGCAGCAGGGGAGGTTTAGATTGGACATTAGGAAAACATTCCTAACTGTCAGGGTGGTCAAATATTGGAATAAATTGCCAAGGGAGGTGGTGGAATCTCCCTCTCTGGAGATATTTAAGAACAGGTTAGATAGACATCTGTCAGGGATGGTGTAGACGGAGCTTGATCCTGCCTTGAGGGCGGGGGGCTGGACTCGATGACCTCTCGAGGTCCCTTCCAGTCCTATTATTCTATGATTCTATGAATATCATTAGCTTACGGACATTTACCTCCCCTCCCCCCCCGCCTCCCCCTTCTGTTCTGAAATTTGATTTCTCCTTTTCATGTGTTCTTTTTTTAAATTGTATCCTTTGGTATATATGGTTGTGACTATTTTCTTCCACTATTTGATCTGAGGAAGTGGGTCTGGCCCACGAAAGCTCATCACCTAATAAACCATCTTGTTAGTCTTTAGAGTGCTACATAGTCCTGTATTTTGCTTCAGCTACACCAGACTAACACGGCTACATTTCTATCACTATTCCCAGCTATCTATGTTTCTAATGATCAGATCCCCCATTTCTAACACCTGCCTTTTCCTGACGACTGGAGTTCCCTCCCCCAGAGATGTATCCTCAGTGTGAGAGGATCCCACATTCTCTGGAAGGATGGTCCCTACTATGGGATGTATCAGAGGGGTAGCCGTGTTAGTCTGAATCTGCAAAAGCGACAAGGAGTCCACCATATACAGTTCCCATTAACTGCTCTCCTTCCCTGAGCCTTTCATCCTCTTTAACAACACCGGGGTTGTCTGACCTGGAGGTGGGACAGTTCTACAGTGTCCTGGAAAGCCTCATCTATGTACCTCTCTGCCTCCCTTAGCTCCTCCAGGTCAGCCACTCTGGCCTTCAAAGCCCGTACACAGTGTGAGGGCCAGGTGCTCCTTGCACTGAATGCACACATACGCCACTTGTCCACAGGGCGGTAATCGTACATGCTACATTGGGTGCAACAAACAGGATCGCCACGCTCTGCTGCTGGATTCTCTCCTGCAGATAATTAGATTATTGATAGGGTTTTTATTTAAATGAGGTAGTTTTGGTTGTGGTTTAGCTTAAAAGTTTTAAGGAATGTCAAGTGTATCTAGCCCCCTTCAACCTCTCCCTCCAGACTCCCTCACAGAAGTCCCTGTTAGCTGCCCCTTTTCACAAAGCTCCCTGGTTGCTTACTAGCGGGCTGTATATAGCCCTGGACTTCCTGATAGCCCTACCCCCGGTGAAGGCTTGACCAGTGAACAGAGGGTTCTACATTTCAAGTCCTCGTTAAGAAGCTCCCGGCTTCCAACTGCCGGCCCCAGCACATGGTCCTTTAAACAAATAGTGCAGCACATGAATCTCTAAACAGACAAACACAAGCTCAGCACACAGTATCTTTCAAGCAACCAGCAAGAAGTAACCCCGAAACACAAACCCATACACTATAGACAGTGCAGTCCTTTGAAGTTCATAACACTTTCCTGGGCTAAATGCTGTGTCCCCTCCTTGAGAGGTCACGTGTAATCCTGGCCCACAATAACACATTACCTTTGCGTTTCATTGAGTGGAAACTAAAGGTGCTCGTTTTCCCAGGATATTGCAGCAAAATGTCATGTCCATCACAGCGAATACTAAAACATCCTTGGAATTTCTAAATGATTATAGGTAACTCAGAGTGTTGCTTCCAGTGTGGGGAACTGCAAACTGGCCCTTGTCTTGACAGATGCATGGGAACTGAACACAGAACCACAATATGCTGGTGGCTTCAAGACAAGTGATCCTGGTTTGATCACACTTTAATGTGCAAACAGAATTAAGCCTGCCATTGCTACCTTCCTCTGGGGATGTCTGGCCCTCCTCTTGGCCCTTTGGCAGCATTGCCAACTCTTTTATGATTTTATTATGTCGCGTGAGATTGAATGGCTTTCGTAATGACTGAGCTCCTGGAGGCAAGTGAGAGACCGTTATTCTGCCATATTCTGAAGGTGGTTTGGAGCAAAGTTTGCAAATATGACACTTGTGTTGGAGCAGCTCAGAAGCCAGAGGGCAAATACTGAGCAAGCACTCACAACTGGATTGAAAATTGTGAGATTGAATGGCAGAATCTCATGGCTTGAGGCCTGGGTGTGGCAGTACTGGAGATGTCACGGCTCCGCCCTCTCTCCATCTGTCTCCCCACTTTCTGAGACCTGTGACAATCGGTACTGCTGTCTGCTGGCAGACTCTCTTCCCTTTCACGTTGTGCGCACCAGCCTCTTCGGGGGCTGTGTCGAATATCTTTGTCCTGCCACTCCCAGCTCCCACCTTCTCACTTGCCCTCTGCCAGGTCTTTCTCTCCCCTACGTCCACCTGGTAGCTCCTCCCTGACCACCACCCTCTGACTTGGATGCCTGAATCTCTCGCTGCTTTAGGGCCATCAACTTCCTTTCAAGGTCCCTGTGTCGCACACAGCAGTTTCCTGCAATGTCCTTGAAATACACAAAGTTTGTGTGTTGTTGTGGGCCATGACTCTCCCTGATATCTCGGGGGAGGGGGGCATGAGATGTGAGTCCTGGAAAGTGTGGTGAACTCCAAAGGACAATGGGTGTCATGGGTGGGAGTAACACGGGGTAGACAGGGGACTGTGCAGCCTGGAAAAACCCTGGTCAAGAGATGGGTAGAAATTAGGGATGTGAAGGTTTAGCCGGTTAACTAACAAGCTAAGTTGACTGGTGGGGGCTAGAGCAGCGGGGGCCCCCGTGGATAGGGGCTGCTCTAGCATCCAGGGGAGCTGCAGGCAAGGGTTGCTGCCTGGGGGCAGGAGGAGCACTCCAGCCTCCCAGTGCTCCCGTTAAATCGGTAAACCTATGGAACAGGATTTTACATCGCTGGTAGAAATGTGGGCCTCTGCCCAAGAGAGGTGACAACTGAGGAGCACTTCCATTTATTCATCTCGTTCCTTCAAGGTTGAGAAGTTGAAGCTGGACAACTTGTTTTCTTTGGGTGGTCTGCTCCACGTAGGGGTATGAGCACTCAAGCTAGAGAGCTTTCTGTGGCAGTACTTGTCAGCATGAAGCATGTGCCCAGTGCTACCATCCAAGGGCACAAAAGGCAGAGCTACCCTGAATCTCCCTCCATTCCTTCTCACTGGAGGGGTTTGTAAGGACTGTCCCTTCTTTTGGCAAATTACAGATAGCTGTCAGTGTAAATAGCATAGATAGGGGTTCTCTTTGTTTTCTTTTTTGTCCCTGAAATGGAATGGATTAGGCCCAGATGACAGCAGCTACTTATCTGCCACAGTCTTGTGGCTCGCTGAGATGGAGACACACTCATGCAGCACACTCACTAGCCTGGGTTGCTCCTCACTGTTGTACTGCATCCAATCAACTTACTTGTCCTCCCTTTGGCTCCCTTCCCAGCTCTGCCTTCCCTTGCCCCCTGTGCTTTTCTTTCTCATCTTGCTGTTACTGCCTCAAACTCCACCTTGTCCACCTGTTGGGCAGTTTCATGCTGTGATTTCTCTGCACCACCCCACATTGGTGTATCTCAGGATCTATTCCTGTCCTCGGAGCACCTTTCCCAGGCCTAAGCAAGAGCTCTGTGCCGCTTGAAAGTGTCGCTCTCACCTCAGAAGTTGATCCAATAAAAGATACTGGGGGCAATGCCCCCTGCTTGCTGCACTTGCTAACCCCCCTGTTGCAGGGGGTAGGCATCTCTGGCTCTCCCTCCAGCCACTGGGGAGGGCTGGGCTGCGGCTGCGTCAGTCCGGGCCCCTTCTCCCTCCTGTCCTACCAACCAGGGTCCCTTCCCTCTCCTCCGACCCCTGTCCACCAGCCAGGGTCCCTGACCACCTGCTAGACCTCTTCTCCTCTCTCCCCTCCCCCCCCAGCCAGGCCCTTTTTCTCCTTCCCCACCGTGCAGCCTAACCCTAATCCCGGTGGTTCTTCCTTTTGTCCCCCAGTCAACGGGGAGGGCCAATCTTCCCCCTCCATCCCCTCCCACTGGCCCGTGGGCCCCCTGCCTAGCGGCTCTTTGCCTCTCCCCCCCACCACTGGGGGGGCTGAGCCACACTGGGACCCAGTTTTCCCTCCTGGCTCACCCGGAGAAGCTGGGCCCAAGCCGTGTGCAACCAGACCAATCCTTAACCACCCTGGTATTGCAGCACGAGGAGGAAGGCCACAGGCCGTTTGGTTTGTGGCTCCCCCAACCACAGGAGAGGGTGGAGGGAGGGGCTGCAGGACACAGGGTGATGCATGACGTCGCTCTGTTGTCCCGCAGGAAAACCTTTCTTTAGTAGAACTCACTCGCCTGTCTCTCCAATTCCCTAGGACTAACACAGCTATAGCAACACCGTATACAGCAGCTGTCAGCAGTCAAGCCATTAAGCATGGTCAGGCTGAGTCTGAGCTGAGGAAAGGGGTCTTGGTTCACACAGGAATGGTTGTGTTGATGTTCTCTGGCTGTGTTGTGTAGGAGACCAGACTAAAGAATCACAGTGGTCTGGACTTAGACTCTGTGAAAGTCTTGGGCTGTGTTTCCTTCCTTCCCCTTTGTGTGTAGCCAGCCTGTGTTTGCCAGCTGCTTGGGCAAGGAAGGTCTGTCTCCCCGGGGTCTGTGCAGTGCCCAATGGGATGGGCGCCAGTCCTGTGTGCAGCACAGGCATGGGTGCCCTGCCAGGCTGGAAGGATAATTGACATTGACATTTCTTGCTTTTTTCCAGATCTCCTGGGAAGTGCCTGAGATTCATCGAGAGTCTTGCACGAAGAAAGGGAAAAAAGAGGCAGGTACCGGGAGAGGGGCAGCCCTTTGTAATTCCTCCCACAGCATGCTGGGTCGCTAGGCTGTAGGCTCTGAATGTATTCAGCAGGGGGCTTAGTGCATTCCTCCTCCTGTGGGCTCCAGGGCAACATATGGATCGTATTAGGACCAGAACAGCAGTCTCTCTTCAGTATGATCCTTGTTACAAAACCTGCCTGGTTTAGAAGGAAGGCACCTACAGAAATATAATACTCAACACATGGAAGAAAGGGGAAATTGATCATAATGAATAGGAAGTTAGAAATTCTAGAAAACTGATTAGGGAAGTAAAATGTAGCAAGGAGAAATCTACATGGCCAGTAGATTTAAGACAATAAGGGGCTTTTAAAATAAATTATGAACAAAAAGAATCCTGACCATGCTAATTCCATAAAGACCAAACTGTTCAGTAAATATTTCTGAATAGAAGGGGAGAAGAGATGATCCTACAGTCTCATCCTACGGTTATGACATGCTCTCTGTTCTGTTTGCATCCCTGGAAGATGTTGACAGAAGCTACTAAAGTCAGACATTTTTAAATCACCTGGTCTAGCTAAAACTCTTGGATACAAGTTGATTCCAGGCAAGTTGATTCCAGGCAAGATAATGGAGTGGCTGATAGAGGGCTCAGTTAATAAAGAAGTAAGAGAGGATAATATTCTTTAAGGCTGCAGATGTCTCATGGAAGTTACGGATTCTATGACTTTCTGTGACTTCTGTAGTGGCAGCTCAGGCAGCCTCTGAGCCACACACACAAGCCATTGCTGGGGCAGTCTTGGTCCATTATGTGTCCTGCCTCTGGCACCAGTGGGGATCCTGACCATGTGCTCCCGTGCCACCCCCCTCAGCATCCATGGTGCGGCCTGGCCGGGCCCCCACCAGCATCTGCAGTGCCCCTGCCCAATACCCCTCCCCCCAACTTAGTCAGGGGTGTGTGGTACAAGATGTGGTCTCCTCATCTCAAAAAAGATATACTGGCATTGGAAAAGGTTCAGAAAAGGGGAACAAAAATAAGGGGTTTGGAACAGGTCCAATATGAGGAGAGATTAAAGAGACTGGGACTGTACAGCTTGGAAAAGAGGAGACTAAGGGGGGATAGGATAGAGGTCTATAAAATCATGAGCGGTGTGGAGAAAGTGAATAAGGAAAAGTTATTTACTTGTTCCCATAATATAAGAACTAGGGGCCACCAAATGAAATTAATGGGCAGCAGGTTTAAAACAAAGAAAAGGAAGTTCTTCTTCACACAGCGCATAGTCAATCTGTGGAACTCCTTGCCTGAGGAGGCTGTGAAGGCTAGAACTATAACAGGGTTTAAAAGAGAACTAGATAACCTCCATGAATTTAAGTCCATAAATGGCTATTAGCCAGTATGGGTAAGGAATGGTGTCCCTAGCTCTGTTTGTCAGAGGGTGGAGATGGATGGCAGGAGAGAGATGGCTTGATCATTACCTGTTTGATTCATTCCCTCTGGAGCACCTAGTATTGGTCACTGTCGGCAGACAGGACACTGGGCTGGATGGACATTTGGTCTGACCTAGTATGGCCGTTCTTCTGAATTTTAATTTACTGCCTGTTACCTGTCCATGACTTTTACTTAAAATACCTGTGCCTAAAACGTAGCCTTAAGTATGTTTAACACTCATCAACATGGTTTTATGGAAACTAGGTTGTCAAACTAATGTGATATCTTTTTTTTATGAGATCCCAAGCTTTCTTGATAAAGGCAAGAGTGTTAGACTTCTGTAAGGCATTTGACTTGGGGCCACATGACATTTTGATTAAAAAATAACAATATAAAATCAATATGATATATGTTAAATTGATTAAACATTGGCTAACTCATAAAATAATAGAATCCTAGAACACTAGGACTGGAAGGAACCTTGAGAGGTCATTGAGTCCAGCCCCCTGCCCCCATGGCAGGACCAAACACTGTCTAGACCAGCGGTTCCCAACCTTTTCCAGATGGGGACCCATTTTGACAATTCAGGAAGACGTGGCGACCCAGGGCAATTAAAAAAATGTGTGACTGGCTCCTTAAGAGCCACCTGGGGAGACACCTGGTGACATTTTTGAAATATAATGGCAACCCCTATTTGGGCCCCGACCCATAGGCTGGGAAACCGTGGTCTAGACCATCCCTGACTGGTGTCTGTCTAACCTGCTCTTAGATATCTCCAGTGATGGAGATTCCACATCCCCCTGGGCAATTTATTCCAGTGTTTAACCACCCTGACAGTGAGGAAGTTTTTCCTAATGTCCAACCTAAACCTCCCTTGCTGCAATATAAGCCCATTGCTTCTTGTCCTATCCTCAGAGGCCAAGGAGAACACGTTTTTCCCTCCTCTTGGTGACACCCTTTTAGATACCTGAAAACCGCTATCATGTCCCCCCCCCCCCCCCCC